TCTCATCCTGCCGGGCCATCTTTCTTCCATCATTCCCCTTTAGCTTTGGGCTTTTGTGGTTTCTCTCCGCCCCCCCCCCCCCCCCATCAACCCCCCCTTCAGTGAAGTGCAACTTAAAACACACACCCCCAGGGGAACGAGCAGCCACTTCCCCAAGGAAACATCTTTTATAGCTGTGCATGAGTCCCACGGCACAGTCCTCGGAAGACCGACAGGCGCTTTCTCTCGGTAACAAGTACAGGCCGTCGTTTGAAGTAGAGCTCCTTCCAGCCCAGACACAGGCATCCTCTGACCCCTTCCGACATCCATTTGCTGGGCAAGCCGTGGCCAGAGAGTGGCCATGAAAACCCCAGGAGTCCTTGAGAGATGCCAGCAAGGCTGGGCGGGTCTAATTACTGGGCTGCTTATTTGTGAGGTGAAGCTGCCCTGTTCCTTAGGGAGAGGCGTTCTCAGGGCTGTTTTTCTCCTTCCTTACAAATCAAGAAGTTAATATTAGAATGTGCCTCATAAAGCCCATGTCTTGGGCTCTGGTGGTTGTGTGTGCTGGCTTGGGGGAGGCAGCGTGGAGGCAGCTGTCGGTTCTTCTGTATCTTGCTTCTTTGGCTGGCTCTTAGGCTGCTGTGTGGTGGGAGAAGGCTCCTGGAGTGGCACGGAGGTGCCTCCATGACTGGTCTATCAAATGGGTAGAAGCAGCTCCCGAGGTTACTGCTGTGTCTTGCAAGCCTTCCAGTTCTAATGGTGTGTGCCTGGCACTCCGCTCCTGCGCTGCATCGTCCCCATTGGGCTGGAACAGACCCTCCGGCCTGCGGGCTGGTGTGAGCCCCTCATCAGAGTTGTTCCTGCAACTGCCCCGGGACCAGGTTTTGTTGTCCGTCTAAATCCAAACTCAAACGCTGCCATCGAGTTGATTCCAACTTACAGGCCCTACAGGACAGCAGAGCTGCCTCGGTGGGTTTCAGGGTTGTAAATCTTTACACAAGCAGAAAGCCTCGTCTTCCTCCCAAGGAGCAGCTGGTGAGTCTAAGTGTGTGGTCTTCAAAGAGGCGCAATCCCACCCCCAGGGGCCATTTGACTGAGTCAACTGTGGGCCCACTAACTGACGGGTGGGCAGTTGGAACCTGCCAGCCAGCAGTCCAGCCCCCAAAGCTGTGGCCATCTGCTCCCATAAAGATAGACGACCGTGGTGGCCCCATCAGGCAGTTCTGCTCTGGTGAGCTGGGTTGGAGTGGACTCGCCGGCAGTGGTTGCATTTTGGGAGGCAGATCTGGTTGACACACATGGGCGGGGCATAAGGACGCCACTGCTGGTCTCGGGCAGAGTGCAGTGTGCTGCTGAGCACCCCGGAGTGCACAGCACAGAGCTCGCTGGTTGACGGTGGCCTGGACATAAAGGGTCTGACGGAGTCTGGAGCTGTCTTTGGTCTTTAGGCGTGACCCTGTACTGCTCCCTCCAGGGGAGTCCCAGGGTGGTGCCTGTACGCACGCACTGGATTACTAACCCAGAGGCTGGTGCTTCAGACCCACAGCAGTTCCCCAGAGGAAAAGTCTGGGACTCCACCTCCAAAAGATCACAGCCTTGAAGACCTAAAGGGGTTCTGTCCGTGACCATGGACCCAGCAGCAAGTGGTGGGGGGTGGGCTATGGTTGGTTCCCTCCATTCACTCTGTGGGGTAGTACCAAACAAAACTACCCCTTCCACAGTCTCTCTCTCCTCCAATAACTGTGCTGAACATGCCTCTCCTCCCCTCACCCTGTTCCTGCCTTGAAATCACCTCTCCGCCTCCTCATTCTCCTTTGCATCTATGGTCCTCTTGTATTTGTGCTTTTTAGAGTTGGAGCTTTCCAAGAAAACACCAGCTGGGGGGGCTCGGGAAATTTGCGTTTGCTGCTAGAGACAGTTTGACGGCTGTTTCAGTTTACAGTGTCCTCACCCCAAGTCCTCACTATGGTCCCTGGAGGAAAGCTTTGATTTAGGCAACAAGAAAGCCCCGTGTGGTCTGTCAGTCCAGAATAATACCACGACCATCAGATGTGAGCCATTAGAATCACCTGGGGATCTTAATACAATGCAGATCCTAATTCCGTATGTCCCCGGTGGCAGTGCAGATTCTCAGCAGGAGGTAGAAGCCCTGGTTCAAATGAGAGCTTTTCTTTTTGGAGGTCGTCCATAATCCAGTTGTCATCAAAGTGGCACCAGTGGTCATGAAAACACCCTTATCCGTGAATGCTTAGAAGGAGCCCTGGTTATGCATACTGTTGCTAACATCAGGGTCAGCTGTGCCAAGCCTTGCTTTAAGATGCACTTTGCGAGAGAGAGGAGGCTTTCTACTCCTACATACAGTGACAGTGTCAGAATCCACGGAGGAAGTGCTACCCTGCCCTGTAGGGTCACTGTGAATCGGAGTCACTCAATGGCAGAGGTTTTTTTGAGAAAGTTCAACTTGTTTAGAAAAAGCAGACTAAGTACCCACGGCTGTCATAAATCTTTTTCCATAAGGGCCTTGTCCACATAGATGCTAATAACACCTTTTCTATTTGTGTAGTTAGGGAGGCCCCCTCCCCCCTTGTCTATATTTGTATGGAAGGAAGAATTGAATGTGTGATTTGTAAAGCAGCAAATATTTCAGATTATAAATATTCCTGCTTGAGTTACCCAAGGAAAGAAGTTCTAACATTGTTGCTGGCTGATAAATATTTGTTGTAAATTTTGAACTTGTGACCGTGGTTTGGGACTTTGGGTGGGGGAAGAGGGACAGATGGTACTTTTGTGTGCACCATTTGCCAAAGTTCATGTTGTTCCTGGGTTTATTCTTAGACAGCGACGGTGAACAGCTTATTCTGAAACATCTTTACCCAAATAATGAGGGTCTATGTCAGTCAGAGATTCTGCCAAGTTCAGGGCTAATTCTTGCTATTTTTACTCTGAGTGCACACGAGTGCGTGCAGGCATGTTTGTTTTTAAACTCTGGGGAGTGGGGGGTTGTAAAGCCTCACCCCGAACCTCCAAAAGCTCCTTATTCCTAGCCACACCCTAAGTTAAAACCAGTTGAGAGGGATTTTTCTTTTAGGATCTGACAACTGGAAGTGTAAATACATATGGATAAACACATTTGCTTTTCCTGCTGATTAAGTTTCTTTACACTCAGGTTTTTAAAAAATAGTCTATGGTTTACAAAGGTGAATAAGCAAATCCTATGGGCAAAGTAAAAACATGAAAATATTCCTGCCAGTTTCTGTTGAAGGGTCTAATCTGCTTTGGGGGGGGTGGGGAGCACGTCGAGTTCCTTTCTTTCCTTAAACCATCCTTCTCGCCAAGCTTAGGGAAGACTAATCTCCCTAAGAGTGGATGCTGTCGTGCTTGCTTCTGTGTTCCCTCAGGAACTCCAGCCGCGCCTTGGAATAGAGCAGGAACTCGGTATCTGCTTGTTGGTGGGGACTAGCTCCTCTGTAAAGATTCAAATGTGGCCTGCCTGTGCTTTACAGGGATTGATCCCCAGACACAGGGTAGGGGGAAGTAAAAACAGTTCTTTAGCACCTAGACAGTGCCTTAGAAAAATAACCTGGCCCTGCCCTTCCTGGGTGCCTCTTTGTCTTGATGGGCTGGGCTGGGAATCCAGGTAGGATGCACCAGTTTACCTGCCAGCCAGTCTGTGCTCAGCTGGTGGGAGGCTGAACAACTAGTTTCAACCGAAAAGGTGATTCAGGATCCCCAATTCTTTACAAGACGACATCAGAGAAACCCAGGCAGGGGTCTGCTTGTGGACCAGTTCCCCATCTGGTGTCCAGGAATTAACCCTGTCATTTTCAGGAGAGCTGGAAGCAGACATTTGATTTCTTACAATGTGGTCTTTTTCCGTGGTGTGGTTTATGCCATCCCCGGTGCAAGGGAGAAATAGGTGGTCGGGTTTTTTTAAGGCATTGTTTGAGGAACAGACGGACCATCTCAGAAAGTCTGTCCAGGAGAAGAACCCACTGTAGTTCCCCACCCTTCTGGGCGTCATCAGGACCTGACAAACCTGGTTATGAAGAGCTATGCCCCTGACTTGAGGAAGTGGTCTGGGAACAGCTCAGTGAGCTCAAAGAGGCTTCAGTCCTTCTCATGAAAACGTCCACAGTCCTTTAAACCAAGGAGCCCTGGTGGCTTAGTGATTACGCGCTGGGCTGCTACCTGCAGAGTCAGCAGTTTGAAACCACCAGTAGGTCCTTGTGAGAAAAATGAGACTCTCTACTCCTGTAAGAGTGATAGCCTGGGAGATCCCGAGGAGCAGGCCTACCTTGTCCATTAGAGTGGTCGTGAGTCAGAACCACGCCCTTTAGACCTGGACAGCCTGTGTGCTGGTTCTAGACGACAGGCAGTCTTCAGAGTTACTCCGTCGGCTCAGAGAGGTGATTTCTTTCTACCCAAAAGGTGTCTTGTCCTTAGGGAAGGTTCAGAGGGCAAGAAGGCCAGGTGATATTCCCACCACATGAGGGCTCTCCGGCGCCCCATGCCCTGGGCTGGTTGGTCCAACAAGGTACAAAGGGGCAGGCTTCTCCACCGCTGGTTGAGCCAGGAGTCAGACGGGAGTAACAAAGAGATAGCGCTTCTCAAAACTCTGCAGAAGAAAACTAGTCTGAAAATAACCCGACCCAACCCCAAGCAATTAAAAAAAAAACACTTTTTAAGTGGATTCACAGAAAATAAAGGTGAAGGGCAGGTTATCGTACAGGACTTTTTTGTGTGTGACAAGATTATATATAGTAAGAAACTATTAGTTCTGGTGTCTTTTACATGGTTGGAATGGGGAGTGTGCAGTAAGTACACTTCTGGATAAGGGTTACGGATGTGCCCCTGGTTTCATGCATTAGCGCACTTCAGCCTTACCTAACTCACATGAGCAAAAGTCCTGAACTGAGGATATCGTTTATGCCCCAGACGCCTGGTGAGTAGGCACGCACTCTTCGGAGGCAGGCACCGTCAGCATGCTGAGGAGGCCAATGTCTTTCTTTCCGTCTTTGCAGTACGCGACCACCGGCTGCTCGCTGACCCTGCACCACACAGAGAAGCCAGAGCACGAGGACGTCTGTGAATACCGTCCCTATTCCTGCCCTTGCCCGGGGGCCTCCTGCAAGTGGCAGGGCTCCCTGGAAGCCGTGATGTCTCACCTCATGCACGCCCACAAGAGTATCACCACCCTTCAGGGAGAAGACATCGTCTTTTTGGCGACAGACATTAACCTGCCGGGGGCTGTCGACTGGGTGATGATGCAGTCGTGTTTTGGCCACCACTTTATGCTGGTGCTGGAGAAGCAAGAGAAGTATGAAGGCCACCAGCAGTTCTTCGCCATTGTCCTGCTCATTGGTACCCGCAAGCAGGCAGAGAACTTTGCTTACAGACTGGAGTTGAACGGGAACCGCCGGAGACTGACGTGGGAGGCCACGCCCCGGTCCATTCACGACGGCGTGGCCTCGGCCATCATGAACAGCGACTGCCTGGTTTTTGACACAGCCATAGCACATCTTTTTGCAGACAATGGGAACCTTGGTATAAATGTGACTATTTCTACATGTTGTCCTTGATCCATCATGTGGAGTCCATAAATTTGTGGGCATAGTGTTCTATGTTTAATAAAGGTTTTTATAGATGTTTTGTTCACTATGTCTTCACAAAGTCAATCAAGGTCGATACTTGCCCCGTGTTCTGCTAAATCAGCAGCTTCCCGTCTCGTCTCGTACATAGACCCAGAGCCATTGCCATCAAGTCCGTCTGACTCCCAGCCCTCTGACCCACCAGCTGCTCTGCTGGGAGAAGATGAGGCCGTCGGCTTCCACAAAGGCCACAGCCTGAGGCACGCACCCTATGGTGCAGCACACCCTATGGTGCAGCACACCCTATGGTGCAGCACGCCAAGGTCCCACAGGGTCATTGTGAGTCTCGTGCACTCCCCTTCACCTGCATCAACCTAACGTTTCATTAACTGGGATGATTGGAGGCTACAGACTGATATAAAACAAATTATATTACAAATTGAATGTCTCGTGCTGGCAGGTTGCTCCTATTACCTGCAGACCAGCTAACAGGAGCAGTGTGAGGCTCCTCCTGGCCGGCCTGCCTTGCTCGGTCCCCTCAACGAGGACAAAAGCACAGTGTCTGTCAGCCAGCTTCTAGCTTATTTGGGGTGGGGTGGGTAAGAGTTACTTTAATGTGGTTCAAATGGTGATTCTCTAACTGGAAGATGACCAGTGTACATTGCCCGGAGTGCTCATCTATGTGAAGCAGATTTGTGGCGCCTGCGGATATATGGGATCCTCAGATGACTCGTTTCCACAGTAAGTTTTGAGAACTCCTGGGTTAAAGTGTGGGCAAGGTCCAAATTTTAAAGGTGCTATAATACTGCCCTCTACTGAGACTCTTTCTACTGCTTCACCCACACCCACCCCATAAATTAGCACTAAATACCCCCAATAACAACCTGAGAAGTGGTCACTCTTGTGTTTGGGGCAGACTGGAGGAAAAGGAGTCGTATGGTCAATGATAGTTCTCACGTAATTAGTAGCATGGATGACTTGTTTGCATGTGGTTTCCATCAGAAGCCCTCCTGGAGTGGAGATGGTGTGAAAAACTAGCTCAGTAGAGTTGGGGAAGCTTTAGAACAAGTGTCATATGCTTGCTATTTAAAGGCTTGTTTTTGATTTTTTTTCCCCACATTCACTAGTTTTTTAATAAATATTTTCCAAAACTTAGTTCTGTGCTTCATTTTCCTGTTTGAATAATATGTGATACATATTTATTGGGCACCTACTATGTGCAGGTGCATCAACATTTATCTCCGCTACCTTGGGGGTTGCTGCTCTGGGTTTTCACGTGAGAAAGCCACTACGTTGTCCACGGTCATGATTAGAATCAGTGGCGGCATGAGACCCAGGCTCACGTTGGTGAGCATTTGACTGCCAGCGGTGCTGTCATCTCCTCTGGGGGTGCTCTGACTGGCACAGCCAGTTCTGGCTGCGGAGAATCCCTCTTGCTTTGGAGAGCCCGGAAGAAGAGACCTGGTTGAGGCTAGTATCCAGAGGTGAGAGCCCGGCTGGTGTAGGGGATTACACGTGGGACCAATAACCACCAGGTCATCAGTTTGAAACCACCAGCCTCTTCTCTTGAGAAAGATGAGGCTCTCTACTCCCGTGAAGGATTTCCAGTCTTGGAAACCCACAGGGGCGGTTCTACTCTGTCCTGTGAGTTGAAATCGGCCAGATTGCAGTGAACTTGCGTTTGGAGCACCCATGGTGCCGAGTTTGACCCAAGGTAACCCTCTTTCTCAAACCCCAGCCCTAAACTCTCATGAGAATTCAGGGTGTCAACCCAAATGCTTTGTGGGTACTGATACCGGAAGGGTGGAGGGAAGGTGGGGCGGTAAGGGGGAACTGATTACAAGGATCTACATATAACCTCCTCTCTGGAGGTCGGTCAACAGAAAATGCGTGAAGGGAGATGTTGGACAGTAAGATATGACAAAATAATGACTTGTAAACTATCAAGGGTTCATGAGGGAGGGAGGAAAGGTGAGGAAGGGGGAAAAATGAGGAGCTGATGCCAGGGGCTCCAGTGGAAAGCAGATGTTTTGAGAATGATGATGGCAAAAAATGTGCAAATGTGCTTGACGATGGATGTATGGATTGTGATAAGCATTGTATGAGCCCCCAATAAAATGATTTAAAAAAACTCATGCCCCCCCCAATACAACGGGGGAGGCGCAGGCAGGAATGAGGTAATATAATTTTTTCTGCCCTACCTATGTCAGTAATCTAATTTGGTTAAAATATATCTAAAATTTGCAATTATTTTGGCCTACTGTCACATTTTCAGGGGGAAAAAAATTACTCTGCTGGTAATTAAAATTACTCCGTGGTATAAACCCATAGTTCTCCAAGGTAAAGTATACGTATCTGCTTTTACAGCCCAGATGGGTGGTTCCCATCAGGATGGTAGATTGAGTGTCTCTTTTGGCCTGAGTCATTCTAGAGAGAAAGGAGTTCTTAGATGCTGTAGAAATGACAACAGGGGCATCTGACCTCTAACTTCACAAGGAGGAATCAGAATCAAGATCAGCAGCTCAAGTCTGGACCTTCCGAGGGGAAGCTCAAGCATACCTCCTCTACTCCCCTGTGTGTTTACCTGTTCTCACACCCTCCGTCCTTCCCACAGAAATCGCTCCTCCTCTGCTGATTTTGGTCATCTGTTGCCATGGCTGCACTCAGCGGAGACCGCTCAGACCACACCCAGGATTGTAGCGTTCACCTAGGAAGTAAACAGTTGTAATTCAGGATCAGGAACAACCCAGGATACAGTTCTTTGGTCAAGACAGCCTCCTCGCAGCCAAGCCCGCGGGCAGTCCTCTCCAACCCTTAGCGTGTGAGCCCCCTTGAACAGCCCAGCCTCCGCGCTGCTCAGACAAGTGTTAGAAAGCTGCCAGTAAGAGCCCAGAGGCACCGCACTCCCCCAGGGAAACCTCCAGCATGAAGGCGCTGAGCTCTCTCACCAGGGATCGCATCCCTGCTATCGCTGCTGCACAATGTGGGCCGGGGAAGCCCACGGCCTGCCTCACACCAGACTCCTGGTTCTGCTGGCGCCTTTTCCCTGCTGCTGCCCACACTACATCATTTCCAGCGCTACAAAGTGTTGCGCATCTTGCTCTCTTCTTGGTTGTAGTGAGGGTTGCCCCCTTCACACTTGTAGGATGGCTTGTTGTAAGCATAGCGGGATGGCAAAATTGACCTAACCCCTTGTTTGGGGGCCCACAATGTGGACAGTGTGCATAGTTTCAAACCCACAGTGTGCCATGAACCTTATTTGCGTTATTAGCAAATTTTCCAATCCCCATGATGGGCCATAAGCACCTTATTTTCATAGTGCCACCCAAATATTGGATGGGAGTTAAAAAACCTCACCAGAAAAGCCAGATAAAAGTGATTCATCACTGCAAATACCTTGGAGGAAGTGTTAGTGGCTATTAATTCTGCATGGCAGGAACCCAAGTGTAGTAGTATTTATATCCTTTATTTTTCAATGTTCTTTAAAAACTAACCACACTTCAGGGGTTTCTACATTTCTGTAAGAGAAACTTCTCTTTGTTTCTCAGACTCCTTAAGATTAAGAGAGTGAACTCCTCCTGGTGAACTGTCCGTGGAAATCACAGGAAACCAGGGGACAGGACACGAAGCATCAACCACCTGGGGATTCTCCCGAGTGGAACCTCAGACTGTCTATACATCCAACTCAAGGTTGACCATGTGCCTGCTGTGGCACCGGAATCACACGACTCCTTTACGATGCCATCTCAAAATGTCTCGTCCGGAGGAAACTCCTTGTCCCTACCTTCAGTTCTTAAAGCTTACCGAGCAGCTCTGCTGTTAGTCACCCATGTGGTCATGGCTTCGCCCTTCGACTCATCTGATCCCAACTTGTGTAGTGTGTGCCATCTGAAGGTTTGTTCTCATTTCTGTGAGACAGCTGAGTGCTTCAATGTGTGAGTCACTCAGTCATCCTTTGTCTGAGATGTCTTAGGATCATTGAGGCCAGCATGTGTCTGTGGGTTTTGGCAGGGGAGGCATGCTCCAGCTACCGAAGTCCCCACCGTTTAAGGTGTGTTTGGGGTGGGGGTGGGGGTGGGGGGGAAACTACCTGGGCACAGAGACCAGTTTTGCTTGGTGGCCCCAGCTTGAGGCTTGTCATCTTGGACACTGATTGATGAGCCTCTGTTATGACATCCAACTACAATGTCACTGGCCTTTGGCCTAGAAGAAAGGGAGTCCAGATCCACGAAGGGAAGGGGTCTGTAGGTGATGCAGTAGGTTAACAAGCTTGACTGCTCTCCCAGACCGGAGGCTTTAATCCATTCACAGGTGCCTCAGGAAAAAAGCCTGTTGATCTCATTCCATGCGGGGGTGGGTGGAGGGGGGGGTGTTCCAATTAGTCATTGAAAACCCTCTGAAGCACACATCAGAACTGACTTTACGGCAAGGGGCTGCTACTTTTACAGAGGAGACCCCGCTGACCCCAAACCAGCCGGATTGTTAGAATATTGTGATGCCATCATGGTATCTCCTGTATTCAAATGAAAAGGGAAACATGTTCAAACGATTCAAACTACAAGCCAGCAACCAAGGCCAGTGAAGGGAATTCGTGCTCGATCTTAATCTACCAACTTCTCCCCGTCAACGCGACCACCCCCTGGCCTTGGAAGCTGGTCACTACCAGAGACGACGACTTCTCTGCTGCCCTCTCTCCCTTCACCAAGGCATTCTGCACACGGAGTCAGCCAGCTCTCTCAGAATGAGAATCAGATGATGCCACACACTCTCCGGTGCCCTCTTTGGTGAGACCCTATTCTGCAGCACTCTAGAGCCCTTTACAATTGCAGCTGAATATGAAATTAGTTTAACGTCTGGATGCCCTTGGGTAATAGAGACTGCGGCATTTTTATTCATTCCCCCATGTCCCCGGTACTAGGCACCAATTAATATCTGATTGGATACAGTTATATAGCAGATCGCTTCTGATAACTACCTAGGAGTGTTCAGCCATCTTCCGTGTCCCATGCTGCTTTTCTTGCCAACAATCACTAGCAAGTTGGTGAAGGGAGAAAGGGATCAGAAATG